AATCCTTTTTCTTCTTCCTGGGCACCACAGCCTATGACAGGCCAAGGCCGTACCAATAAGTGTTTGCCATCTTAAATCTTAATTCTAATATATTAAAATATTAATTTATTGTCTTTTACAGTCGAAACAAATATTGTCTTAAATTACGAAAATTCCGGAGCAGTATGCCTAGTTGAAAATTGTAATTATACAAACCAAAATGACAATATAAATCTTATTATTAGGAATTATAATCGTGTATAATTATAATTGTGTGAGTGTAAATTTAAATTGTATAAGAGTAAATTGCTACAATTAATTTATCACAGTTACTCATATAAGTTAATAGTACTTGGAATTTAAGACAGAAATTTGCAAAAACAGAGAGATATAAAAAAAGAAGGTGGAAATGTGTATTTCAAAATTACTATTTTTAAAATTATTACTGCATGGCACCTTAATTATTTTTAAAAATTTGAAACATAAAATGCGCCAACACTTCATATAACTACACGCTCCAGTTAAAACAAATATATACAAAGCAATTACCTTAGTGCCCTTCACAGTTTAGCTTTCCGAACAAAACAAAGTAATAAAACGCGGAACTGAAACTAACGAATATTTCGCAATAAAAACACTAATAGAGAATTTGTATTTACAACATTTGGAAACACACATTCTTTCGTATAGTTCCCAACGGAAATAAAAAATTTTTTTTTGTCTATTTCGTACAGTGGAACGATTTCAAAAATAAAAGTTGGTGTTATATTAAGAAAATAATCTGAAATCAGTTTTACTGCTGCGGTCTAGTTAAATTATCTAAGTTTTAGTCGAGGTTTCGTGGTGAGTAACGAACTAAGATGACCTCAGAGACGTGAGGTAGGCTACATAATTAATTATCCTCAGGCTTCACTTTTCGGCCATTAAAAGTTGGTTGGAAAAACAAGTACGGAAAGTTAAATGAAGGAACATTTTTGTAACGAGAATTTAATTTACATAAATGTTAACATTTAAATTACGCTTACTTTTTTATTACATGTTTGAAAAGTTATTCCAAATGCGCTTAGTTTTAATGCAGTCTAGACATTCTATTATTTTTAACTAATGTGAAGAAGAAAAAAATTAATCCGAATAAAAATATCCCTCAATAATAAAAAATTTACTCACACAGGTGGAATCCAAGTAAAAATGAACAGCAGCTGAGGATGCAAACCGCACTCTCTTAAAAATGTGAAAATTCATAGACATTTTAATGCCAAGAACCAAAGTGAGATAGTATTTTTTTTATGAAGAACAACAGAGGGGCTGAAATAGCCAGGAAATCGAGTGAAAGTTAGTTTCCTTTCTGTTACATTTAGGAAACTAACAACAGACAAGTCAGGATGCTGAATAATTTGACAATGAAATTGATTTCCCATAAAAATAGCTAACATTTCAGAAAGAATTCACAAATACAGCGAAAGATTTAAGATTAGTTTTAAACAAGTTTTATATAAAAAAATAAAATTAACTAAGCGTAAAAAAATATTTCATAAGTTCTAAAAACGAAAGAAATAATTAGTGACATCGTGGCAAAGTTAGGGATATTTAAATGAGTGACATACTCTATATGAAAAGATATCCAATTAATGTGTTAAAATTATCATCAACCGAATTATCTGAAGAAATAATAAAGTCAGCAATGTTTACATAACTAATAAGATTCAGTTTTAAAGAAACTTTTCCGTTTAATTGCAAATTTAGGACAAAATGGTTCACTTTTTCATTTTAACTTATTTGTTCTTCAAAAACTTTTTCAATTTATCTCTATTCGATTTATAAGCCCTGCAAATAAATTTTTAAACGCAATCGTTGCAGCAAAATAAGAAAAAGTAACTCGCTTTTCTAAACCACAAAAAGAAAAAAATAATTGTAATTCGTCAATAAAACAAATTTTTGAATTGTTTTCGGAAAAATGATATTAATCAAAACAAATAAAACAGAAGAGTAGACAATGAACATAAAAAAAATAATAAAATAATTAAAAGGTCCAGTTATAGTGCCTTTCCATTCTGTGAAGAATTAGCCCACTTAGAGCTGAAAAACTCCAGATCCCACGCACTGGATCTTCCAGAAATGAAAAACTATGATGGCATTGTTCTTGGTGACCTTGCAGTTAAAGAGAGTTAAAAAAGTGAAAGTGCGTAAAAAATAGTTACAATGAACTTTTTGCTAATAACCTAATAATTTTTTTCTTTCTTTCGTTTGCTGTATTAGCAAACCTTGAAATAAAAATAAATGAAGAAAAATGAAAGTTAGCGATTTAAGGTAAACCAAGCGAATCCATCTGTAACCGATTGGATAAGGTTGCGAAGATTCGCTCATTAAGATAAAATACGAGAAGAAAAATTACATGATATAAATGTTTCTCTTTATCTTAGAATAAAATAAATAAAAAAAATGGTGGTTGGAAACTTATAATTTACATATTTTTGAATGTAGCTAGCTTAATGTATTTTGAAAACTTTATGTTTTTTATTTTTTTAAAAGAAATTTATTTTACCTTAGGTATATTTATTTGGAGCTTAAAATACATAATTACTAGTACATATATATAGTACAAAATTAGCCCGATATAAAAAGTAAAGCAGAGATATAACAAAATGAGACATTATACTGATAAGAGGTTTCTTTGATGTTTATTCATATATGACAATTAAGGTTACTTAGTTGTCTCCAAATTTATACTGTTAAGGTAAAACTTAAAACTTTCTAGAATCTTGATAATTATCTATACCCAAAGAGTAGCCAAATATTTTTTGATTAACTTAACTAGAGTCATGTATACATAAAGTAACAAAGTTTCTATGTGATGAATGTCATATTTGATTATAAGTATGTGAAAGGGGAACAAAATTTAGTTTTTGTTTTCTTCAAAAATTTTGTTTGGTTTAGGTAATATTTATTTATTTTATCCCCTTATTTCGATAATATTTATTTATTTTACTGTTAACTTTTGAGAACAGATCGGCCCTGAAAAAAAAATTACAGTATTATCATATATTTATAATTTTTTAGGAAAAAAAGCTTGTAATTTAGTGGTTGAAATCAAGTTAGTTGCAACTATTTATAAATGTATTTATATTTATCATTCATTTATTTATTTTTTTCTTACACTTTCAAAAAAAAAAAAGAAAAAAGAAAGAAAAAAAAAGAGGTAAATTAAAAAAAGTAAGATTACATTTTAAATGAAAAAAAAAGGGAAAGTAAGTTATTGGCAAGTTTAGATCCATACTTGTGCGCATTTTTAACTTTATTTCTTATTTTTGTGTTCAGAAAGTAATTTGGTTTAATTGTAACTTCCATTAATGGAATATGACAGGACTTGCAAGAGATTTTAAACAGCAGGACTCTTCAGAAGAAAAGTTACATCAAAAGACAGTTTAAGTTCTCTTAAGGGGTATTTATAAAAAGATTAAAAATTAAATTTTTTTTAATACAATGACTAAAAAGAAATATGGAAACACAACTTTAAGCAATATACTCACAATTGTTCTTGTATATGTTTTTCAGACATCACATTTAATAAATTTTGAAATTTGAACCATAAAATCAAGTCTTAAGTCTTTTTTTTCTCTTTCCAAATTTTAATTGGCATAGCCGTAAAACAAATCAAAAGATTTCTTTTATTTAAAAGAAAAAAGAGAAACAGAAAAGATCAGTTATTTAAAACTTTGCAATAGTAAAACTTATACTGCAGCAATTTTAAATGCCAATAAAAGTAACCACAAAACTAAAAGCAAATATAATGATTTTCAATCCATATATTTTAAATTTAAAGAATTTTGCTCTTATGATGATAGTTTCTCTTAGCATTTGTTTTTTTTAAAATTGATTTAATAACATTGACATGACCATCAACACAATAATAAAGTAGGAAATTGTTATTTTTTTAAGCATCTTAAAACATTTGAATAGCTTGATTTATGATGTATAATTTTAAATAGCTTTTCATTTTAAATAGTCATTTTTGGGAGAAAATGTTTGAATTAGCATTTATGTGTCAATAGAGAAATTTTAAAATTTTTAAAACTCAAAATATTTAAATTTTGATGACAACTTTTCCTTAACAGTCAACATACCCGAGCACTTAAAATAATCCATAACAAGCTAGGCACAATTTGGGACAAATCTAAATAAATTGGGTAAGAAATAATCCTTCTTTCTTTAACCTGCCCACTCAAAATTATTTGTTAAACAGCATATTTCAATCATAAAAACTTTAAAAACAAAGAAATTTAAAAAACTTACATTACATAAAAATAATAATTTTGAACAAAATGTTAATAAATCATCTAAAATTAGAAATCTTGAATCTGAATTATAAGGATAAAGCACCCATTCAAATCTCATTATTAATTTTTAAAAAAAATTACTGTAAAATTTATTGAATCTTAAATTGTAAGATCTTAACATTTAAACAAAAGTCATACTCGAAGCATTAGTTTAAAATGTTTCTCTGCCATGAATTAACACAAAAATGCAAAGTGTCATGTTACTATTAAGGCTATTTTTCTTGTAAGCATGAACTCTTAAAACTGCATGCCACATTTAATTTTTAATTATAATTACTTTTCAAAACTGAGTTATAATAAAAAATCCCAAAACTGTAATATTAATACAGAATTTTGAAAAAATTAGATAAAAATTCCTGAATCTAACAATATTTTGCATTAATAAATTTTGTAATGCTAATGGTAAATCTTGCAAAATGTATGTATAAATTATCTTAAACACTTTAAAAATGATAATTAAAAAATAAATGAATAACAATAAAATCAAATTAAATTTGCATATGAATTCAGATATAAAGTAATAGGAATATATTTAAGTGGGGTGCTATTTAATGTAATATTTCTGTTTCATTTTAAAGCTGGAAAATATTTATTAAATAATAAATAACTGACATAAAATAATCTTTTTATTTATTTATAGAAAAATGGTCTAATATTCCTTTCCAAATAATGATTAAAGTAACTTACCCATAGTTCGGTTCCCCAACTCATGTTTCTTGTGGGTATCCAGAGATTAAAAAAATCGTAGATTCGTCCGACTTTATAAATTAGAAATATACCAGCAAAATATTTGCCACTTCATTTTCTGTAAAAGCCATTTAATATAATTTTTATTCACATTTACAATTCATGGACAGGAACTAGTTTTGCAGAACACATGAAAATGTAATAATCCTTTTCGATTCCTTGTAATTTATTAGCACAGTCCAAAATCATGTTAACTTGGAAACAAAATCAACAAATAAAAACAGCTTTATTTATAGAGACTCTATGGCAGTAAATATTAGTCAATCAAGCCCAGTAAACATTCACTTATAACAACAATCATTTAGAGGAAAAATAACCTCTTTCGGTAAATCGTCTGAGACCAATCGATTTCATTTCAGTTTCGTAAACACAATTTGGTCTGATAAAATGTAGTATTATTTTTGTCCGTAAGAGTGCGGGGCGTGCTTGAAACTATTGCGAATTAAATTATTGTTTTATTTAATGTCAAATGGCCAATTATATTCCGTAAATAATTGAAATCTGAGAAAAATATATTCTTTCTTTCCTCTGTAGATATTTGATAGAGAAAAATTAATATTTTCATATTTGTTTGTAACCGCTAAATAAAAAAGTTTTAATAATTGGAAGTGTCTGCTAATTACATCTAACCGTAACTGAAACTTCTTGTTATTTGTTTTCCTTTCGAATTCAACAAATTTTAAGAATGTCCTTAATGCTCTTAAAAATTAAATTTTAGCGATTTTCAAATAATAACTTGTAAATTCTGGCAAGCTCGAATAATACACGTTTTAATTAGGAATCAAAATAAGTAATTTTGGGTTTAATTTTCATTTGCAGTTTTTTTAATTTCTATATTTTCTTTTAATTTCAAGTTTTCATTGAAAACTATTTGTAATACAACATGTTGTCATATAAAATATTGTTTTATTTTTAAAAAATATTGAAACATGCACTCAAATTCAAAATATAATTTTTATTTATCATTTTTCTAGAATATAAAGTTTCATTCTAAAACATTTAAGAAAAAATTTTTGTTCAACTATTTTTTTTTTCAATTTATTTTTTGAAATTATTTACTTTTCCCACTTCTATTATCGCATATTTTGAAGGGTGGTAATGTACTTTTGAAGAAGCTAAATGGGAGATTAAGATAATAGTTACATGCTTGAAGATAAAAGTTAAAAATTTCTGCACTTATCTTAGGAAACAGTTATGATATGCAATTACTCAAATATATCCATAACATTATATTGTATACTTGTTATTCAGCAGCTAAAAATGTAGCAAATTTTAATCAGGAAAAATAAACATTTGGTAAATAGAGGTTAGTGTTCAACTGTAACTACTTGACTGTCCTGGATAGTTCGTAATAGAATTTGCCTTATTAATTGTATTTTATTTTGAAACATTAGCCTGTTCTTAACTCTTTATTGATTATATCTAGTGTCTTTATTGAAGTTTATAAAAAGATCCTAGTATGGTGTACAAAGGGGAGATTTCCGTATCGTGATCTGTGGCAGAATAATCTTCAAGCTTTGGCAACTTCCAGGCAGAGGCCCAGTGAGAACCTAAAAAAAAAAACATTACTGAAAGGGACCAACTCAAAAGGTATAACTCGTTGCCAACCTCCGGGCAAGCTTCTACATGTTATGTTAAAAAAATGTGCAAGTTTAAAATCTATTTGGCACCTTGGCGATTGTAGTTGGTGGGACAAATCACGATACAGAAATATCCCCTGTACAAAATGCTTTTTAGCATCTTGTTATAAAATTTTTTCATTATTTATGAAAATTAATCTTTAATCTAATCCTTCCTCTTTATATATATATATATATTTTTGTTGTCTAATATAGATAAATATGGGATTAATATTGCTGAGTAGATTCAACATATTGAAGTTTTGTTATTCTGGAAATTTTAAACATACCATGCAATTCAAGTTAGTATCTGAAATATATTCAAATGTATTAAATATTGTTGTATATTTATAAATTAATATGATACAAAAAATGATTATTAAATTAATTTTGTCTGTAGTTGTTTATGAAGTTTCATTTATAATTATTATATTAATATGTATTGCGATATGGAAGGTTTAGCGAACTTTACAGGATAATGATATGTTGTAAAAGAGAAGTGTGAGTCAGTCATAGAGATATTTGACTTAAAATAAATTTTCTTAAATCCTAAAAAAGTATTAATAATGTAACAAAATATGAAATAACTTTAATTCTAATTGTAAATAAAAAAATATAAATATAGTTTGTAATTAATGTTTAATTTTATTTTTGTATGTTAAATAATTTAAAGTTAATTAATTTTGTTTGTTAATTATTAATTGTAAGAAATTAATTTCTTGATAAGCTATAATTTTAGTAATTGTTGTAATATGAATTCAAGCATTATTTTTGTTTACATAATTATAATTAATTTCTAAATTTATTATCATAAGATCAAACATTTATTTTCCCTCTTTGAACCAATTAGATCTTACTTTTACTAATCAGAGTCAAGCAAATATTTCTGACTCCAACTCCTGTTAAATTATGTCTGACTCCACATCCCTAATTTTTAACTCAGTTACCTTTGAATTAGAATAATAAATATTTATTTTGCTATACTTTTTATTATTAAAACAATGAAGGATGATTCATAAAGTAAATGCAGATTTACTGATTAAAGTTCCAAGAAAATACTGATTTTGATTAATTCTATTTTTTCTCACTTTTCTAGCTTGAATTATTTATTTATTGATTTATTATTTTTTTATATAGATATGCTGCTCCATGCAATATGAAAAGAAGTGAACATTCTTTTTCTGCAAAACTTATCAAATTTTCAAAAAAATATCTTTTTACTCACTCTTCTACAAAGAAACGAATGTCAATGCAATCTAAGTTATTTGGAAGCCTTTTATGTGCTGGTTTAATAACACCTCTTAAATTTTCTGTGGTTTTTTGTGCTAGTCCACATTCAAGATTAGTCAACTTGAATAGTTTAGAAAATTTACATCAAGAAGCCAAGTTTGATTGGAAGAAGTTTTATACAATTATCAAAAGTGAAGTTTGGTATATTTTATGTGCTGTTGTGGTAAGATTATTTTTTAATATGCTCTTTTATTGAATTTAGATGGTTAAATCAAATTTAGTTAATAAGTTATTTTCAGTTATGGATTAAAGTAGCTCACTAATTCAATCTTCTAGAAATCTCCCGAATTGCATGAGTCTGTAAAATTTATTTACATGAATTTTTTTACTTTTTATTTTATTAAAAAGGTTTATATCAAATAAGTGAAGAGATTTTTAAAAAATAATTTTCAGTAAATGAAAGGAGGATGAATAAATGAAGGAATAGCAAATTGCACTTAGTTTTTAAAAAAAACTTTGATTCCCCCCCCCCCTATCCATACCCAATCCCAATATACCAGAAGTTTTATGATTCTTTGAAGATCAAGTATTTGATACTGTAAAAACACTTTTACAAACAACAGCTTTGTGAATATATTACATTGAATTGATACATTTTATACAATTTTGAGGAATATTGATAAAAACAATTGTATTGACTGACCCTGAGTGTACAGTGTGCCAAAAAAAGACCACCCTAAATAACTTTCGCTCTAATGATTGTATTTTGTACGACTTCTTAAAAATCTGATTTCTCAGGAACTTTTCAATTGATTTTGCTCAAACTTAATATTTTGCCAAGTAAAATGACATACTTTAAAATGACATAAAAAATTGTATACCTTACAATTAAAATTTTTTCGATATCTATTTTATAAAATAATAAATATTTTGAAAATTTTTTTTCTCCATGAAATTATATTTGGAGAAACGAATTATATAATTGTGTGCTAAAATTTTTCAATTCGCTTAAAAATTTCTTGAGATATGGCAAAATACGCAAAAACTAAATTTATCATTAAGGGGTCCAAACTTTAAATCTCTCTCCTGACCAAACCATTGGGACAATATTTCCCCGGTTGCGTCTACCTCCTATATTTTAGATGTAAAAAATCCAAATCCGTCGAAAAACGGTATGTTTATTCAGAGAAAGTACATTTTTGTGTCTGATTTTTTAACTTAAAATATTGTCTGCACTTATTAATTAGCATATTTGAGGTCACTCGCTCGAACCATTACGAATGAGTCCTAAAACGTGAAGATACAATCATTAAATCAAAAGTTATTCAAAGTGGTCCGGTTTTTTTTGGCACACTGCACATCTTTTATCCACTTACTCATTTAAATAACCGAATAAGAAATTCAATATTCTAAATTCGCTTGACTATTATAATGACATGTTTTAATTTGTTAGTTTTGAAAAAAAAAAGCAATAAAAAACTCTTTATTCTGTTTAATTTTTTAAATCTACTTACTCTGCTTTATTTTTTTATTCTGCTTTTCATAATAGTTATTTTTTGGGTTTACTTGTTTTTAATGTATGAATGCATACAAATTCTAATAACTGTTACAAATAATGTTTTTGACACTTTAATAACTACTTTTATTATTACTTGATTAAAAAACTTCATAGGCTTAAAATATACTGATCAGAAATAAAAATTAACAAGTTTCAAGCACTCAAAAATAGGTGCCCATTTTCAAGATTTGCCAGATGTGGATGAGAAGGAACAAAGGTGATTTAAAATGTAAAACTTAATATTACCTACAAAAATTGAACGTAATTTAAGTGAAACGTAAAGTTGCTTCACTGACAACTAAGCATTTTATATTTCAAATCACTTTCGTTTCTCCACATTCAAATCTGGCAAGTCTTGAAAATAGGTGCCTATTTTCGAGCACTTGAAATTATGTCGACAGTTATTCCCAATCTGTATATTTTTGAAGCGAATGAAGTTTTTTAATCGAGTATTTTACTGCTTCAGTTTATTAGAATTATTTATTTAATACTTTTATTATTACTGTTCTGATTTTAATTTACATTACTTAAAAATAATGACAATATCAGAATTTTTGTACATTGCAAATTATCTCATAATGCAGCGACATAATAGGATTTTTATGTAATTCTTTCCCCACATGATCCCACGCCAATGTTCTTGAGAGGAGATACATTTTTTGACAACAATTTTAATTGTTTTAAAAGATAAACTTAAAAGTTTCAAGATTTTGAACTTTATTTTGAATGATTTTTTTTACCACATTTAAAAATGTACGCTATATCAACATTTGACTTATTTTATTCAAACTTTGAATACGTACTGTAATATTATAAATATATTATTATTTTATATTATCATTTCAGTTCTCTTTGCTTTCTAAAAATAATATATTTTGAGTCACAACTAACTTCTTTACTATTCAGCATTTAAGCTATGATCAATATTAATTTGATAAGTTTTTTTTTGCTACTTTGTCACTGTATTTTGTAAATGATATTTCTACAATTAGGGTGACCTGGGGTAATTTCTGATCAAAAAATGCAAACATCTATTTTGTGAAAAAACTATTCAAGATAGAATTTTAATATTTACTGGAAGTTTGAGGCTATATGAGATGAGCTCTATGCTACCCTCGTTTGTTTGAAAATCTAATTAGAATTTAAAAGATTTTAAATTTTTAGTGATCAGGAATTACCCCTTCTCTTGATAATTTCTGGGGTAATTCCTGATCACTTCTGGGATAATTACTGATCAGCAGTTTTTATAGTTAAGGGGCTGTTTAAAAATAATTATACAATGGTAATTAACAAATAAGACATCGAGATCAAATAAATAAACCAAAAAGATATGTTTAAGCAGCTAATAAAACAATTTATTTAAAAGCAGGAATAAAGATTAACACTTTAAATTTTCCAAAAATCTTTGCATCGTGCCATACATTTTAGGCAAGCATCCAACTCATTCTCATGTTCTGCCGGAATATAAGAAAGAGTTTCCATATGGGTTACTTTTGCTGGATTTTTTAACTTCATTATGTGAGAATAAAGTTAAGCAAAGTATGTCAACAACTCTGGTAGCAGCTCTCACAGTGAAATTTTCATCTTCAATCATTACAGGAAATTCACTCATTTTGCTTTCTAGAAGCTTAGTATCCTTTTTAGGCTTAAAATTTCTCACCATATTTATATTAGGCTAATTTATAAACTTAAAAACTATTCTAACAATATCGACACATAAAATTAAGATAGAAGCAAGGTTAATCAAACCAGAAATGGTGCAAATCGGAACACGTTTGTCTTGTGTACAGTTAAAAACAAATTTTGTGATTACAGTTAGAATATATTTTATAGTTGTTCCACTTATTAAATATGAACTGCTATTTAAGAAAAGACAATGAGCTATTTATAAGCTATTTTTTATACTATTTATGAGAAGAAATGACAATGATCAGGAATTACCCCAGTGATCAATAATTATTCCATCTGTAGGGGACAGCATTTGATATAGTTTCCTATAATCAATTATAATGTTTACAGTAGATGTGAAACAATTAAGCAAAAGCTTACACTATTTTTATATCATAGAAAAAGAAAGTAACTCAAAATATTTATTATCAAGAGAAGGCTTTGCAGAAATGTGCACATTTTGAAACCCATCTTTGAAATGGAAAATACAGGAAGCAGTTTAAAATATACTTATTTTGTTAGATTAAACAAAAAACTATTATTAAGTAAATGTAGTTATACTTTAGCAAAGTGTACAAGCATTCTTGTCCATGTCTCACATTAGAAAAAATTTTTTTTTTTTGAATAAAACTTAGGTGATCATTATTTACAGAGTGATCGTGAATTACCCCGGGTCACCCTATGATTTTTAATTTTCCAAAATTAAAATATCTATAATAATTAATCAATTTTATATGTATATTTTTTTTCTCAGAGTGCTCTTGTAGTTGCTCTATTGAATATCCGTATTCCAATTGCATTGGGTGATATGGTAAATGTTATCTCTTCTTTCTTAAACGATGAGTACTTTCAAAGAGATACAGCAACTTTCTTGAGTGAGTTACGAGAACCAGCTATACGACTAGTTTATATGTATTTAATTCAGGTAACTTTTTTTATATATTGAAATTTTCCGTAATTGAAATTTTATTAACATTTTTATAAGTTGTATTAATTTCAGAGTCTCTTTACTTTTGGCTATATTTCTATACTTTCTGTTTCTGGTGAAAGAGTGGCCCGTAATATGAGGCGTGAACTGTTTTCTTCTGTGATTGAGCAAGACATTGCATTTTTTGATGCTCATAAAACTGGGGAAATTTCTAGCAGGTCTGTTATAAGTATCAATATATTTTTTTTGTTGAATTATTTATAATAGTTTTGATTATGTGTTGTAATTCACAAATTTCTAAAATTATTTAAAAATATTTAATATTCATAATATGAATTTATGTTAAATCAATATGTTTAGGTTTAGTTAGTTGAAAAATATGTCAATATTTAGTATTTTTTTTATGAAAGTTACTCCTATAACATAAATAAACTTATTTTTCTTGTGAGTATTGTAGAATTCAAATATTTTTTTAACCATCATTTTTCTCTTTTTGTTTTGAAAATAATCACCACTTTCGTAATTAAAGATTCAAACTATGACAGTAAATCTTGATATCTCTAACATGATTAAAGAGATAGAACTTTCAAATTATAAATTACTAGAGTTATTTAAAATTATGACTGGTAGAATAATGAACAAAAGTATTTTTAATGTCTTTTAAACTTTATCACAGAAAAAGACATTAAAAATACTATCTGTCATAGACATTAAAAAATGATTATATAAAGACATTAAAAAATGTCTTTTAAAAATAAGTAATCCATTTTTTAAAAATAATAAATACTATGTCCAAAAAAGTATTTAATGAAATGTTCCATTGTTATCTCTGATTATTTGTATCTAAGGAGAAGAGCATATTTTATAAATGATAATAATATAAAATAATAATAATGCAAATATAACTTTAAATATGTTCTTAGACATATTTGGCTGCCTTTTAGCATATTTCTGTAAAGTATCCTCAGAAGGTATATTTCTTTGTTTGTGATATTTATTTATAATTTACTGATTCCTTCTTTATTCTTTTCTTCTGATAAAATACAAGATGCTTTAGTTTCACTGCTAAATTACTTATTGTGCACTGTTATGGGATCATCGTTGACAATAAAATCATTGAATACCATATTATCGAGCTGACTGAGTTCAATTTATTCTGCCATGCAATTAAAAAAACAATGCAAGTTTCTTATGTCAGATTTCGAGAAAAGCAGCTTGACAACTATTTTCTCTCGATTGCTTATACTGGCTAATGCTCAGAATACCGATACAAAACATTGATTTTTGAAGAATTTTGTTTTTGCAATGTGTAGCAAAATATGTACATCATACAAAAATGGCACATATATATATATATACACACAACTCTCAATTTTGAACTTTTTGTCCATTACTTTGGTTTTCTATTGCACAACAGTATTGTTATCCTGTCATTTTCTTCATTATTTTTTGCAGAAGTTCAATAGTCATTACATCTTCAATTTCAAGTTAATGCAAGTTTTTCTCATCTTATATATTTGAATAGCTTTTCTGTTTTATTTAAGTTCTTTTTTCTTCCTGATGTTAGTTTTTTTTTTGTTTAAGAAATTTTTTGTATCACATTTGGGTATATTGTATTTTTCAACTGTTTTGAAAGAAAAAAAATATTGTAAAATTATATCTAAATCTCCTTAAAATGATTAAGTGTGCTGTTATGCAGCTGCATGTGAAATCATGACACGGTTTTGCTATTCTGCTAAAATTTTGAATGATAACAGAAATATTCACACTAGACCTCTTTCCTCCATGCATTTTTTATTTTACTAGATGATTTTAATAAATAAAAATTAAAAAAAAATAACATTACGATAGTAAATGGAAATTATTATGATAGTAAATTAAAATTTTGCAAATTATAATGTAATTTCAGTTAATTATAATGTAATTTTTATTAATTTTGCTTAGATTAACTAATGATGTTCAAGAGTTCAAAAGTTGTTACAAACTTTGTATATCTCAAGGTTTAAGAAGCATTGCTCAAGTGTGTATATATTTCTAAAACTTTTGCAAAAGTGATAATGTTTCTTAGAGTTTTACATCAAAATATAAAATTGTGTTTTAGACAACTGGTTGCATTGTCTCATTGTATTTAATATCACCAAAAATGACAGCTTTAATGGTTGGTGTTGTACCTGTCATTGTTGTGGCTGGTACTTTTATTGGAAGAATATTGAGAAAAATGTCAAAACAGGCTCAATCTCAGGTATGATTAAATTTCTTAAATTTTTATTTTTAACTTCATTTTCATCAAAAATCAATATCATTAATCATCAATGAAGTCCTTTATCCGGACGTCATAATGTTTTACATCTTTATTTTTTTAAAGTTTGTTAAAATTTTAAGGTTAGAAAAGTTTGTTATTGCCAACTTGTTATTACAAATCATAAATACTTGGGTTGTTATTCATTTTTATTTATATATTTTTATTCAGTGTTGACCTACAAGTGCATGAAACTGATGTAATAAAATATTTAAAATTGCACAAACAAGCATATTATACATTTTTTATGTAGTTTATTAATAGCTGACATATATATTTTTTAAGCAATCTTGTGCATTTTTTTACTCAATATGCCTTATTTTAAATTTGATCTTATTAAGTAGAAGTCTATGAAACTTAAAAGTATTTTTCTAATGTATGTCACATAGAAACAAGTCAAATTCACTTTTTAATTAGAATTTATATTATTTAGCAATAATTTTTAATCAAACAGATTGTTTTAGGTCAATCACATGACTTTTTCATTTGTTTTTTCACTTACTAGCTAACTGAGTTTACTAAATTTATTTGACATACTAAACTGTTAGTGCTGAACGACATCTATAATAATGATGCATAAGACTTTGATTGTTTATGAATGAAATTTATAATTCATCATTTTATTAATTTTCTGTGAAAATCATCTTAAAATATTTTAACCCGTTTTCATTTTGCAATAATTTTGTGAACATAATTTTTTCAATGTTATTGCTTATTGTTCTTTTATAGATTGCACAAGCATCAGCTGTTGCAGATGAAGCTATTGGTAACATTAAAACAGTTCGTGCATTTGCCATGGAAGAAGCAGAAAAAGAGTATGCATCTTTCTGTACAGTATCTATACTTCAATAATATTAAGTATAGCATTTCATTTAATTATTTAAGTTGACAATTATGTTTTTCTTAGGCTTTACTCTAACCAAGTCGATGAAGTTAGAAAATTAAACAGCACATTAGGAGTAGGCATTGGTCTATTTCAAGGACTTGCTAATCTTGCTCTAAATGGTTTGATATTTTCTTTTTGTTTATGCTGAAACTTTTTTAAATGTTTCATTTTTATGCTACTTGTGATAAGAATATGCTACTTTCTTTCAAATTTGCTAAAAGAAATATAGCAAATGCCTTGTTTATTTCATAATTTCAACTTAGAATTTGCAGAATATGAAAAGTTTTGGTTGATTACACAGTTTCATGCACTTCAGAATAAGTTTTATTAAGCTTCATCTTATTATTTGTGTTTTTTTTTTGTGATCAAGCTTGTTAAAATGCAATAGTTCTGCAAATGTTGTACTTATTTTATAATTGTAACTCAGTGTACAAAATATGAATAATGACAAAGGGCACCTTTCAGAATAATGATATTATGTTTCATAATATCATTATTTATTTATTGTGATTAAATTTCTCAAAATGCTATAATATTCTGCAGTTATATTATATATTTGCAATTTATAGTTTCAAAAATAGGAAATATTTTGATTGGTTTAAAGCAATGTTGATACATTCTAGAGTTATTCTTTTGTAAAAACCTGGAAAATAAACTATTTTATCTTTTTTTTTATATTATCAAAACTACTAAATCTGACTTTGTTATTAATAACTTGATTTCTTAAAATCAACAATTTCTCTTGATGAGCTTACCATTTCAAAGCTTAGCAAAAAAATAAATTATTGTGTTTTCTTTATTAAATTAAGAAGCAACCATTCAGAATACTTTTTAAATGCTTAAAAATTTTATGCCAGTATTTAAAAATAGTTTCATATCTGTAATCAAAAAATAGTTTTTCTTTCCTTGAGTATCCATGTATAGTGTCACTAAAATTAAATTTTAAAATTTTAATTTTAAAGTTATTACTTTTATGTTCAATCAAATTAGTAATACAGACACTGTATTGTTTTTTTTTTCTTTTCTAAAAAGAAGTAAATTAAAATCGAACTAAACATTCTAATAATGATCTGAATTGAAGTGATTGTAGTGAAGTGAATTGAATTTTTTTGCCTTTTATTTAGTGGAAAAGTAGAGAATATGGTTAGAAAATTTTGTATGATTTTATTCTAGCAGTTAAAGTTTTAATGTTATAAATTTAATTTTCTTGTAGATTTAACTAAAGTTTAACTTTCTGAAACTCAATTAGCTGACAATGTCTTTAAAAAAGGAAATTAAATTTTAACTTACCAGTTTATTTGGTGTTTTCAGAGTGGATACTATTTTTAAAAAACTAAAAATATTAAAAATAATATCAATATATAGTAATTGTCCTATTATATGTACAAATTAAAATGTGACATATTTATATTGTTTAAAATATAAGTTATAGAATATTTTATTTTAATTTGCTATAATGCTTACTTTTCTTTTTTACTTTTTGAGCAAAATCAGAATGGTGTTGCTAAACTAATGTGTTTGTACATTACATAATTCAACAATTACTAAATTTCATGTGGCATTTGTAAGTTTAGAGTAACCTGAAATTTTCTTCTTTGCATAGCATATAATTTTAGATCCCCAAAAATTTATTTCTGGTTCTTAAGATCTTCAATAAATACAAAAAATAATATAGATCTCATGATTATAACTAAATTTCCTACATTAATAAATATAGTGCAAAGGAAATACTGCAGGACAACCTGATGCACATAAAAGTTTTGACAAAATACTGCATTGTAATATTTTCCTTAGCGTGCTTGTTCAATTGAAATTTCATTATAGTTTCAAGTGGCTGATAAACTGAAAATTGATATTTTGTCAGCGGAAAATCACATTTTACTTTATTCAGATTAGTTTTGGTTTATATAAAGAACTTGAAAGTTTAAGCAAATATGCAAAAAAATATTCACGATTGGAACTAATGGATTCTATTATTATTTTGAAATAAATATATTTGTATATAAAGTTGTGACTTTTAAAAATTATTTTATATTCTAAATGAATTTTTATAAATTAATAACCAGAATCTATAAGAAGTGATTAAAATACTTTGATTTTCTTTGCATTTTTATTTATTAGGTATTGTGTTGGGTGTTTTATGCGTGGGAGGATCTTTGATGTGCTCTGCTGAAATGACTCCTGGAAGCATGATGGCCTTTCTTGTTGCCACGCAAACTATACAAAAGTATTATAATGTTTTGATTTTTGACATTACATAATAAAATTGCTATTGTCTTGTGTAAATTGCATTAAAATCTGAATTATCTGATATTTACAGAATATGTTCTTCGCTAAATGAAGCTAATTTAAAAACCTTTTGTCTGAAAAACCCACAATTAAAAGAAATAAAAGACATTTGTTTCTCTACTTTTGTTTTGTAATTACCATGCATTTATCATAGTTGAATTGAACTTTTTTTTTTTTTTTTTTAAATCCATGTATAGCAAAATATTTCCCTCAATTTGATACATTGTTTATAATTTTTTGAGCAATTCTGAGCTTCACTTTTATTTGTCTTTTTATTATGACTATCATTCTGTGCTTCTATAATAATATTTTGAGTAAAACTCCACTAAGAGTAAGAATATGTTAGTCATTAATATGCACACTACTTCAGTAATCATGTCAGCAATTTCACACTCAAGATGAATAGAAAGGTTAGGAAGGATTTCACACAAACGCTAACCTTGAAAATTCAGTGGAAAAAAGAAATCTTTTGATTTTCATCATAACTAAGTTAAGAGAAAATTCTTTTAAGAACTATGTAAATCTTTTTTTTTTGTTTTTTTGTTTTTGTTTAGCATGCATAATAAATTTTTCTACTATAGCAGGTTGATTCCTATTTATTGCAACTAACCTAATCAAATGGAAAACTTACTTGTAAGTATTATTGAAAGTTCACTTCAATATTTTCTAGTCAAAAAATAAACTAGCTTAAAAAATACCAGATACAGAGCCCTCACTCAGCATTCTCCATCTCGCTAAATGTGATAAAATAATTCATTTTTAACAAATTGTGTTTTGGCAAAAGTATTGGCAAATGATTTTCTATACTATATATATATATTTATATGTGTGTGTATCCCCTTTGATCTTGAAAATTGTATCTAAATGAATTTTACTGAACAAATCTTGTATTTTTTATTTGATTACAATGATTTCCCTCAGATATATTGCATAACTAATTAGAGTTATATTAAGTCCAGATAATGTAAGCAACAAGAGATATTATGTAAGCATCAGGAAGAAAAAAAATGAAGTAAAATGTACAATATAGATTAATATGTTCGTTTGCAGTTTCACATGCGGAAAAATTTGTGTCAATTAATCAGATTAAGTGGTAACTAGATGCATATTATCATTCAACTATTTTTTCAAAAATTATGTGTTCTCGAGACAATATCATATTGTTTAGTTTATTAAAGTAAACTTATTGTAAAATTTAAAAATTAAGGCGGTTACTAATAAAAGAAAATGTAACTTTATCTTTACATAGTACCACTTTTCAATAATCGATTTGTAGTATAACCATCTGCACACAGTTGGCAATAAACTTGTTAAACCCCTGCTGAAATTTTGTTAAAAAAATCTCTGCAAGTAGTAAAATATAAAGCAGAATAAAACAATTTGATTCAAATAACTTATCTTCTACCGTGATCCTGTTTTTTCTAAACGATTACAATTGCGACAGTAAAAAGTTAGTGAGACAGTTTGAACGTTTTATTTGAAATGAAAGATATTCATTTAATGAATATATTTCAGAATGAAACGTTTTATTTGAAATGAAATATATTCATTTAAAAGACAGTCGGAATGTATGAAGACATCAAATGTTGCTTCAGGTTTATCTTTATATTACTGCTCTAGTCTAAGAAGCTATCAAAAATCAACCCAAACCTATTCTTATATCTTTTCCTCATAGATAATAAAACATCTACATTTTGGATCCTCTCCCCCATTTATTGCTCATTTACTCCTCCTCAACTCTAAAATGACTCTTCATTTGAATTTGCATTTTAAAAATAGTTCAATTTATAGTTAATTTGTATTTTAACTTAAAGTTTTCAATGGGGAAAAAATTGTTAAAGTTTGCTTTTGGCTAAGAGTTTTTAAATTTGACTAACACTTTTGATATTTGCATAATTTCCTGGATAATTTACTTTAATAAATATTCTTAGTGCGGGTCTTAGAGATAGTGTTATTTACTTAGCAATAATATGATAAAATGTTATGATATTTAGTATTAATTTCATTACTGAGTATTAATTAAACTATCACTTTTTAAGTTCTTCAATGAAACATCAAATTTCTCTTATTTGCTGTGAAGTTGGATGATTGAGATTTAAAATTGAACTTATGATATTTAAATTGGATCTTAAATTATTACTGACTATTAAGTTATGAAGTTTACTGAAGTTATACTATAGTAAGACTTGCTATTGATATACAATTGGTTTGCCGGTTGTGACTGTCTTGCAGAATAAAAAAAGTTTATCTTCTGAAGAGATAAAGTCACAACCCTGTTCTTCTCATCAATGATGTTGATATTTGCATATTTTTTTAAATGCCTCAAACAGATTGATATGGATTGTGCTTAATCCATTCTCCAACAGCTTTGATCCCATTTGCTGTCTTAACTATTATTTTATTCCATCTGTAATATGAATTGAACAAACACCAGTGCTTCTGATTCTTTTTAGAGTATGACAGACAAATTTTTGGTTCATGCTCTCTTTTTTTCCTCTCTTGAAAATTTCGAAGGTCTGTGCTTTTTCGTATAAAGATTTTGAATATGTTTCCAAGCAGCATCCATTTTGATTGTCAAATGTAGATTGCATGTAGTCACAGGAAAGTTCATACTTTAATGTGAACTTAAGAGAATTTTCATGTAAAGAATCGGTGAGTATAATTCATAAGCAATGCAAAAATTAGGGACACCTACTCTATATTAGATCCTTATTCTTATAAATTCAATTCTTCAATTGCTGCAATCAGACATACTCATTATTACCATTAACTTTTTGCATAAAAATGTCCCATAGCAACAAGAAAACTCGAAACATCTAGATAATGACTTCAAAATTATGTGTATATTTAAAGACATTCTGTTAAACAAAGAATGATTGAATTGATATGAATTCTTTTATGTTTATTAAAACAATGCGTTTTTGATAAAATAACTATGCAAGATAGTTGCAGTTATTTTTTATTTTTTAATTATGCATGCATTTAGATTTCTTCTAATTGATTGCAAAAAAAAAGTTAGTATCTATCGGTTTATATATGTTATGTATAATTTAATATGATACTGAAAATTTCTTTGTCTGATACATGGTTAGTTTATTCATTATTAAAATTTTGATAAGGAATTTATTTTTCTGTTTGTAAAGAATGCACTTAATTCTAAGAATCCTAATTAGGAATTTTTTTTTTCAAATTCAATTTTCTCATTTCTCCTCAAAACTTCATTTTTATGTGAAAGTCATGAAAAAGTGTTTAAGTATTTTTTGTTATTTGTTACTAACTTATTTGTTTATGAATTTCGTTTTTAGTTACATATGTTAGTTTTATTTTTTATTACAGATCCCTTGCTCATCTGTCCTTATTATTTGGGCAGTTCATTCGTGGTTTAGCTGCAGGTGCAAGAATTTTTCAAGTAACCAAGTTTTACCTGACATTTATTTAGGTGTGAAAGTATTCAGAAACTAAATACTATTTTTATTTCTATTTTAAAGTACATGAATTTATCTCCAGAGATACCTTTGAAAGGAGGGAAAATAATTGAGGATACTGAGCTTTATGGAGAAGTACAATTTTGTGATGTTACTTTTAGATATCCATCAAGACCTAATCAGGTACTTTTAAAATTAAACTATTTTATTTCAAGCTCTTTGAAATATGACTATGTATTGTAATATTGTTATTTATGGTGGTTTTTAAAGTATATCATTCTTGATATTTAATATTGAACTTTTTAAAATTAATGTATTTTAGATCATACCAAATTCTCCTATTTTTTTTCTAAATTGATATTTGTTTTCCATGTATTCATTGTTTCGTGGACAATTATAAATTTAAAGCAGACAATTAAAGAAATATTCCTGATTGTTACAACTCATTGTAACATATATTACATTGCTTCAGTATTTATGTGAAAACAAGACTGAAGCGTTGTAATATATGTTACAATGAGTTGTAACATTTGTGTCTTTCTTCCAAATGGGTGGGTAAACTCATTATGACTTCATGGAAATTCATTCTACGTGCATAGCCAAAAGTTCAGTGCTTATGTAAAAACAAAATTGAGATGGAAACTAATTCTATCTGCATTGCCAAAAGTTCAGTATTTATGTGAAGACAAAATTGAAGCGTTGTAATATATGTTACAATGTGTTGTAACATTTCTCCTTTTAAGGAAAAAAATTGAAAAATATTTTTAAGTGTTCCCAGTGATTAATGCTAAATCAAATTTTTTTTCTTTAATATACAAATTTGAACACAAACATAAACACATAAAATATTACATTATAATTTATTTCTATCTCCCTTAAAATTATTTTACTCACTCTCTGTCCTTACAATATATATACAAGCAATTTTCTACTACGTAGAGCAAAATAAAAATTATGTTTTGCATGACCACACTTTATTTTAATAGCATACACTTACATGTGTGATTTTCATGCTCTAAGTGTGATTTTCATGCACTGACACTTAGCTATATACTAGCAGCTTGTTTACATCAATATTTTTTTTCTTAAAAGAATGAGAAATGTTACAATTCATAGTAACATGCATTACAGCGCTTTAATTTTGTTTTCAAATAAATAACGAACTTTTTGCCATGCAGATAGAATGAGTCTCCATGAAGACAGCATGAGTCTACCCACCCATTTGGAACAAAACTTAAGCACAGTGTCTTTCTTCCAAATGGGTGGGTAGACTCATTCTGTCTTCACGGAGACTCATTCTATGTGCGTAGCTAAAAGTTCAGTGCTTATGGGAAAACAAAATTGAGGATGGAAACTCATTCTATCTGCATGGCCAAAAGTTCAGTATTATGTGAAAACAAACTTTTATAACGCTGTAATATATGTTACAATGAGTTGTATAACTGGTCTATTATTTTCCTCCTTTACTTTGTCACATTCGTTTTTCATATTTTCTTGTAGATTCTATTCATTTTTACTAAAATATAGCATTTTTCATAAGAAATTTGTTAAAATTATCTTTCAAATAACAAAAAGTTGTAAAATAATTTTTTTTTACCAGAGAAAGTAGTTTGGTACTATTTACGCATAAACAAAAATTTAAAGTGAGATTTTTGAATTATTGTGTTATTTTTGTCTTATTGAAGTACTTATTATGTTTTAATAAATTGAAACATATCAAGATGCATTTTGGCTTACTGCATTAGTTTCATCATTAAAAAGCTAAATTTGATGTATTTCTTTCAAAAAATAAGAATATTTGATTTTTTTTAGACTTTAAAACTGAAAGGAAACTGGTTTATAAAATTCCTTGATATTTCTTTGATAAATTTAAGTAAGGAAATTGATTTGCTATCATTTTTGGTAATGAATGGTACAATGGAATTTTTTTTTATTTGTACCTGCTCATTGTATTACATTTTTTATCTAGTAATTTTACTGATGATTTACTGATTATAGTATATTGAAAGCAATAATTTTATTTTTAACATATCCATTATAGGCTGTTTTGCAACATTTTGATTTAACTTTGCCACCTAGAAAAATGGTTGCCTTATGTGGAGTTTCTGGTGGAGGTACTGATTTAAAATGTTATCATTATTATAATTATTACCATTATTATTATTTCCATTATTATTTTGATTTTGTTTATTGCACGAAAAATTTTACTGTTACAGATTTGAAATATTAACTTACTTAAATCTGAACTTACTATATGACTCTTACTTGAATTTTTTATTTTTACAATTTAAATGAATGTTTGGAACAACACAACTCTATTGAATGCATGATAACTAATTGTTTGAAATTTAGTAGCAAATGCAAATAATTTACACTGTATTTTATTTGCAATTTAAACTTTTTTATTTTAATACATCAGTAATATTTTTGTATTTAGATAATGCATTTTCTTCTTTATTTCTTTGAAACAGTAGTGAACTTTTCTGTATCTCTCCCCCCACCTAGGAAAATCAACTGTTGCTAGTTTACTTGAGAGATTTTATGATGTGGAAAATGGAGCAATTAAAATTGATGGAGTTGACATTAAATCATTGGATCCTTGTTGGCTTCGAGGGAAAGTTATAGGCTATATTGATCAGGTTGTATTATTATAATGCATAAACTGTAGGTTTTGTTTTATGTTTCATTACTATTTATGTAACAACTATAACATTAAACATTTGTTGAAGCCGCACTATTTAATTATTTCTTCCAGTATTAAATTCTGAGCCCAGGACTGTTAGGGCTGATAGTTGGATAAGCCACAAAGTATTTTATTATATTTTAGGTTGAGTGTTGGGGCTGATTTCAGTCATAAAATTATTTTGAGCACTGAGAAATCTTTATTTCATTTTTAGAATTGAATATTTGTTTATTTTTAAATTTTAGGTATAAATATTATATAAAGGAAATATGTCTTATGGACAAGGTTCGTGATTTTTTTGATTTTTTTAAAAAAAATCAAAAAAATCGGATTATTTTGATTTAAATCGGATTTTTTTGATTTAAATCAGATTTTTTTGATTTTTATTTAAATACACTATAAGAGCTTTAATTTATGATCAAAAAAACTTTATAAATGTTTAATCAAAATTAAATTAATATTAAAACTATATTATAACAATATTTTAGAAGCTCTAACTTACTAAAATAATTTTTCATTATAATGCATAGCGACCATTTTGATACAAAGGCATGATTGAAATTAAAAGACAAGATAAAATAGATAATTTAAAGAATACTACTTTAACTAATAACACAAAGTTTCAATTAGCACAGCATAATTTTAATTTAAAATTGTGATCTCTTTTTTTTCTCATGATTTATAAAATGGCAAAATAAATGCAACAGATTGTGTTTATAAATGTTGTTATTCATCAAAAAATAAATATTCAATCTATATATTTTTATGTTAAAATATTCATTTTTAATCCTTTATCAAAATACATAAGTTAAGCTAAAAAACATTTTTAAAAAAATCTATGTACTCATTGGAATTTTTTTTCACAAAAGAAAATCTGATAATTTCAAAGATACCGTAAACATATTATGAGAAGAAAAATAAAAACCAGTTAATAACCCTACTGCTTCAAATAGACTTTGATAGGGAAGAATGACACTATATCAGGAAAAAAATATCTGAACTCAGCTTTTTTTTTTCTTTCTATTTTTGGCATATTAAGGTAATTTCTTTTTAATATAACCTCAAGCTTTAGAAATATAGAAATTTCCATCAATAAACTATAATGTAGATTTGAATTTCATGCTTTTTTAATCAAAAGGTAGAATTTTAATTAACATTTGCTTTTTGAAAAAAAAGCATGTTTATTTACTTTCTACAGCTATGCAAGTCTATATTAAGACAGCATTAAATATTTACTTTAATCTGTACTTTCAATGTTAAGAATCAAAAGATTTTTAAACATGTAATTTTAAATGTGTTTAACACACTCCAAGAAAGAAAGTAATTTCGTTAACTAAAATTAATTAATGCAGCAATTTATTTAAAATAAATTTTAAAACTAAGAAAAGAAAATAATAAAAGTATCAATAATTTAAAGCACTGTTTTTTAACTTTTAAAATCAATATAATATATATATAAAAATCAGTTGATTTAAATCAATGATTTTTTTAAAAAAATCATTTGATTTTAATCATGATTTAAATCGTGATTTAAATCAAGCTGATTTAAATCAACGAACTATGGAGTTGTCATTATTTAAATTTTTTTTCATCCTGGATAGCTGTGAATGAGAATTTAATATTTATGTATGCTCTTCCTTTGAATAAAGTTGTATTCCTAACTCCAAGCAACTACTTTTACCCATGGTTTGAATCCATTGAAAAAAAATTAAATTAGCTTCAAAAAGGCACTTTTTTGTGTGATTATGCACTTTAATTAATATTTATGTGAGTTATAAAATTGTAAAAGATAAATCCAGCTTTTTTTTAAAGAAAATTTATATGAAAATAACTCTATTTTAGACTTGAAAGATAAACTCTGCTAGAAGCAGTGATAACCTAAATTTTACTGTTCAGTATTTTTACAGGAATTGAAAATAACTTCTGCTACAAAATTCATATTCATCTCGAGTGATAGGAAATCTGTGTGGCTTATCTAATTTTGAAGCTAAATGACTCATATTGTATTTTTATGAATAAGACCACATAAATTAAGCAGAAATATTTTTGAAATTATGTCTCAAAGATGCTGCAATTTTTAAAAATGTTGCAGACAGATTGTAAAAGATCTAGAAAACAGCTAAAACAGACAAAAAAAAAAATCTCAATTTGAGATTAAACTTTGTGTTTTCCTACTTGTTTCAATTGCAATTTTTTCATTATAGTAAAGATTTTATCTAAGTTATCTTACATCCATATTCAACATAAAATAATGATTGTTAAATTAAAGAGAAGTTAATCCACAAACTGAACATTCCTTCAAAATTTTTGCTGTTTCAGAAAAACTTTGGTCATAGCTGGATACAGCTCTTTTAAAGCTCTCGCTTGCTTGATTTTCTTTTATTGTAAGTTATGGAAATCTTTCTAATGCTACCTTTGAGAGCTGTGCTGGTTCAGGGCATAGAGCATTTGCCTACCAGTTAGGTAAACCAGGTTTTCATCTCAGCTGTGACTAGTTGATATTCACTCTGCTCCCTGCTCAATCCCACTACAGAGCTGACATAACATATCCTCAGTGGTTATAAAATAAATAATACACTGATTATAAAATAAAATACTGCCTTTGAACTGCTAAATCAGATTTAGTCTAGCTTAGAGCTTTCTTTTGCATATTCTTTGCATGTAGCTTATTTGAATTTTATACATGGATCACTCATTTTTTAAATATTTTTGAACACTCTGTTGTCATTAATATTTAAGTTAGCCAATTGTTTTGGATCAAAATCTCAAGTAGTTATCACGAAGTTTAATGCAGGTTGACAAAACCTGGGTCTGTGAAAAGTTATAGTAATAAGCATAAGTTTCTTAAAGGATTCTTAAAATTGAAAAAGAAAGCAAAGTTGCATGGAAAAATCCGTCAAGTAAAGTTTATTTGGTAAATGAAAAATTTTTTCAGAAAAATAAAATTATGTGGATATTTAACAATTGTAAATTATGAAGTTTTCTACATTTTTGCATAATAATATATCCTTTTTATAAATATATTATTGCTGGATTACTAATTCTTTTATTTGTAAGTTTCGTGAATTGTTATTGTGTTAAATAGTTTATTTCAAATTTGTTGTTACTACTCCTTCAAATAAAAAATTATTCTAAACTATTTGGCTAAAATAAAATATTATAGAATTAGCGACAGAATATCTTACAGATAGTCAATAACCTTTCTTCTTACAGTATTTTGTTACAATTATTGAAAATTACTTCCGTTTCAAAATTTGCCTTCACTTTTAGTAAAAGGAAAGATAGATAGCTTATCCAATTTTACAGCTTGACAATTCATATTGTGTGTTATACGTAATATGCATAAATATTGTTAGTTCATTAGTTTTTTCATTTGAAAGCAGATGCCTCATTCAAAGTTGTTATTGTCTTAAATAGTTCATTTAAAATTTGTTAAGTTACTACTCCATCAATTAAAGATTTCCTTTGGTTTACTTGAATTTATTAAAAAATGTGACTGTAGATGCTAAGTATTCAAAATTCCAGGCAGTGTAAATTGTTTAAAAAGTTGTTATTTTCTGACATTTAAACTAACCGTTTTATTGGTTATTTATTTTTATTATAGAAATTTTTTAAAATGTTATTTCTAGTGTAACTTTAATAATATGAGTTTAAATTGTTTTATATGTGACTTTAAATTTTGTACAGATTTAAAATATTTCTCTTTGTATTGTAATTATTGAATATTTTCTCAATTGTGATGTTTTATTTTAGGAGCCAGTTTTATTTGCTACTTCAATTATGGAAAATATAAGATATGGGAAACCTGATGCTACTGATGATGAGGTAAATAATCACAAAGAATAATATATTTATGTTTATAAGGTGAATAATAATAATTATGTAGAAAACTGCTTGTTTAAAGATGAATCGTTTATTTGTAAAATTTTGAGTATTAATAAATTCATATCAGGATTTTTACTCTCTCTAGTAATACATTTTTAAATTATATGTGGTTGTTTATGATTATTATTATTTACTTTTATTATTTTAATTTCTAGTTAAAATAGTATAAATTAAAGTTATTAAAATATTTAAATTTTTTTTTAATTTTTGTCTCAAAAGAAAATTTTAATGTTCATTTTTTTAAAAATTATGTAATTTTGAATAAAACAATATGGGATTTAAATTTTTTGAAAATGTTACATTTTTGAAAATTGTAATGTTTAAATTGATTGTAGTACTCACATATATTTATCTGCTGCTCCTTTTATCATGGCGAGGCTAATTTACTTTGGTAAAATAAAATTCTAATATAATTTTTGGGGCCAATTTAAAAGATGATAGAGGTTATTTAAAAAAGTTGAAACGAATCATAGGCTAAATCCCATCATGATGCCATCATAGGCATTATATACTTCCTAGCATTTAAAATTTCTTTAATTTAATGATTTTTTATCCCTGTTAAATTGAATTAACACATTTTTATTATGAATTTCATACATTTTTATAAAAAGCAAATTTTTTTTATTCTTCTCTGAACAATTAGTGTGACTGCTAACTTTTTAATTCAATACAAGTGTATAACTTATTAAATCAGTGTTACAACTAATCAAATATCAAAATCTATTTTTAATTCTTTTTATATGTTACTTTCTTCCTCTAATCACAAAAATGTGTCGACTACAGGGTTATGTTAATTTCTGAGGATCTTTTTGATGAAGTTGTAGCCAAATTATTTAAAAATGTAATATTATTAATGCAGGGTTGACTTTAGTTTTGACTGTATTCTATTGGTCCAATTCTATTGGTAACCAAATTATCTATTGGTAACTATATTATCTATTGGTAATTCGCCAAATTTTTGATCTCTTCCAATCTTCCCATGCTCGAAAGTATCCGTTAGAAACTATTCATTCTTTGGATATTTGTTTATTTGATCATTAATTATTAAAATTATTTCAACTTATTAAGATGATTTGAGTGTTTTAAGAAATTTTAAATTACATATGTACAGGAAAAAAAGTTGTACAAACTCCAGAAATATAAATTCCAAATTTGAAAATGAGAGCTTATAAAATCTTAATATTTATTAAAAGTGCTATTTATAAATAATTAATAATGATAAAGTTTTTATAAAATTTATTTAGATTTTGCCAAAATTACTTTATAATATTTTTCTGTATGATTTTGTAAGACTTGGAAATTTAACATTAATGATTGTTAGTTTAAATCTTTATCGAATGTAAACTAAGGAGGCTATTTTCAGGAATTAAGTTGGAAATTTGATTAAACTTTAAAGAGTTTTTTAATAACCTTTTGTGGCACTGCTTTCATTGATACTTAATAAGAATTGGCTGAAAGCTGCCGTACTACCAGAAAAGGTGAAGTCATTTTAAGTCATTTTACAGTTTAAAGGTTGTTTCTGTTTATTAAAAAATGAGCTGAAGCATTTTTGTATGAAATTAATTTCTTTGTTTAGGTCATAGAAGCTGCTAAGTTGGCTAATGCACATGGTTTCATATCTCATTTCAATGATGGGTACAATACTATTCTTGGTGAACGTGGTGCGACGGTATCTGGTGGTCAAAAACAAAGAATTGCTATAGCTAGAGCCTTATTGAAAGACCCAAAAATTTTAATACTGGATGAAGCTACTAGGTTTGTATTGACAAATATCATATGTTTCCAAATATGAGCTGAGACAGTTTAGAAATTTTTTGAAAGCTTAAGTGTGTGTGGATGTGGGGATGGGATCTGCTTATAATTGGATCCACTGACTTTGAAATATTCCGGGAGGAGAATTACCAGCAAAAATACTTCTCCTTTAAGCTCCATACTTATTGAGCATTAGCAATAATTAGTAAATATAAACACGCAACATAAAAATACATAAAATAAAAGTTGAAAATGGAATACCTAAATATAAAAATTGAAAAAGAAGCACCCAAAAAAGGACAATTTGAAAGAAATGCTATTATTTTTAAATTTTTGGAGTATGAATGCTTAAACTCAATGCTTCTTTTACCCTCAGTGCAACCATTATTAAATCTACCATTGCTACAAGTGAAGGGATGCATTTTTATTTTGAAGTGTAGCATGCCTTTTTTTTATGATACGAGTTTTAAATTTTGGGTGAATTTCCAAGTAAAAAGCGTGCTTTTTGGCTTATCCATAGATTGGTTTATATTTGGAAATGTATGGTAATATTTCTTTATTGTTATGCATTTAAGCTTCTTACTTTTTTTGTGAGAGTAAAAAGTTGGATCTCCTTTGTTATTATGCTGCAATGTTTATCGTAATTTTCTAATGATACAGTAAGGACAAATTATCATCAATCTTAAAATACTATAGCAGATTTTTTATAGCCTCTAAGTGAGTATGTCACTACACTAACTGCCATAATTAATATTACATTTTTAATAGTGTAATTATTAGTGTGTTGAGTGTTGTGTTATGATTAACGTTTAACATCTTGGAGTTTTACATTTCCAACTAAAGCTCAATACTTGATGGTAGAACTAAATTGGTAAATTTTTTTATTTTCTTAAACTTTGTTGCATCATTGTTCGAGAGTAGTCATAGTGTTTTATTTATCGTTACTTATTGTATTTAATTGGTTATTTATTGCACAATGCATAGGGGAAGGCGTTAACAATTTGAAAACATACATTGTTATTTTTACTTGGGTAAAGATTATAGTAGAAATGTAAACAGCATCTTATTGCTTACCATTTAAGTAATCTATAACCACTTTCAAATTTAAAATATGTTATTTTTTAAAGGAGCATTAAACTATTTTTACGCCCTTTTAAAGTGTCCCAAGGTACACCATATTGTACCTAGGAATGCAGGGTGTTGTACCTTGGTACTAAATGAAAAATAAACAAAATATTGCTAATAAATCTTATTTAATAATTTTGAAATACAAAACATTATAGAAAAAATAAGAAAATCTTATTTACCAGAGTAGTCCATGGGCAATTTATATGCACTGGAAACTTAGTGATTGCTTCTGACACACTGAATACCCTGTTGCTGAGGGTAAATGCAATTTACACATTCTTTCTTCATCTATTTTGTTCATTGTTTCATTTCTTAAAAGGAAGGTGCTCATTCCCATTTTAACAAGCACAAGATTCTGTTCATTCACGTTTTAACAATTCAGTCCCAAGGTACAACACATTGAAAAAACAAACAAACGAAAACACGTCATGTAGAAGTGTTTGCAGTCAGTTGTTCAGATTAACTAATCATACCATTAAGTAGAGCACAATTAAAAGTTCAATACACCATCTTAATGTTTAACACTAGTCAATTAGGAAAGAATAGGAAAAAAATGAAATAAATAAATAATTTACTTTTCGATAAAATTTTTTCCTTTTATTTTCTAGCTCCCACAAATCTCACTGTAATGCTAGCTACTTTATACTAACCCTTTGTGGCTAAGGAGACAACTATGTCAGGTTAGTTTTGTTAGTCGCCAGTTGATGGCTGGGCTATGCTGTTCGTGCCAAGGTACAACGCTCTCCCCTATATTTTGAAAGCTGAAAGTATATCAAGTTTAATATAACTGGGTACAATAGACCTCTGGTCAATGTGCCCTGCTCGTCAGAGCTGCCTAACCTCTAAGTCTAAGTTTAATAGAACAGATCTTCAATTTCCCATGATACCCTTTAAAACTTTTAATCAAAGGGTTCTGAAATAGCTTCAAACATTTTCCATTTGTTTTGATATCTCAAATTTCATCTATGAAAATTTTTATTTAGCTCTAACTCTCTTGTCTAATATTCAAATTAACTTAATTTGTTAAAGACATTAATTTTTCTTATATAAAATAATGTCTATAAATAAATGTTTTGTATCAATCATTCAATTTTTTTAGTGCTTTAGATGTAGAATCAGAAAAAGTTGTTCAAGAAGCTCTAGATTATGCTGTTAAAGGTAATGGAATCAAATTCTTATGTAGTTTAAGTTTTCTAAATATGTCAAATTTTATATTAAGTGTGGCATTTTATATAATTTTTACTTTATATTATTTTTAGTACATTTTTTTAAAAAGTGTGCTAAAATACTCAGTATAACACATGCATTTTAATTTTTACAATTTCATATTAATATATGGTATCAGATTAAATCGGTATGTGTTTTGTAATATACTTTATCTTGAAAATTTTTGCTACATTTTCACTTTATTTCATCATGAAAATTTTTATTTCAACAAAATATATTCTTACCCATCCAATTCTGGTTATGAATTAGTAATTTTTACTTGTAAGAGTTCAAAGCTTTTGTTAAACTTTGAAATTCTATAAGAAATAATAAGACGATCAAAGAATAAGATTTATAAGCTATATATAAATAAGCACGTTTTACTTTTATGCTAAACTTTAAAAACATTTATCTTGAAAAACGTGTTTGTATTTAGTTTTTATAAAATTGACAAATTAATTTTTCTGAATAAAATATTTCACTTTTTATTTGCTTAGGTCGTACTGTGCTAGTGATAGCTCATCGTCTAAGTACAATCCAAAATGCAGATTTCATTGCTGTAGTAAAAAGAGGCCAAATAGTTGAGGTATGCTACATTTAGTTATTTTAATGATTTAAGACTATATTCTTTATTTTATGTGTAAATATTTAATATAAGTAAAAAAAATTTTTTATGTGTTATTTAGAAAAAAATCTGTGTTGATTTTAGTAGTTTCTTAGTATAGGCTAGATGATATTTTATAAAAAATAAACATTTTGTTTGAACTTAAAAATGCTACTGTAAGTATTTTTGTTATTGAACTCGCTGCCATAAAAATATCCAGAAGTTTCATGTTAAAAGAATATTAGAATATATTTAAAATTTTCAATGTACTTCACTTGAAATTAAGTTTTCCTGTCTTAATTACATGTGTTTCTTTTATTTTAAAAAATATTTAAGAATAGGAGTGTAGGATAACAAGCCATGTTAGAGTGCATGTTTTTGAATGGAACTTACAATTTGTAAAAAAATTAGGATGTTTTAGAAATAGTCTTTTTTCCAAATAATAATAATAAAAAAAAATATTTATAAGAATATAATTAGATTGATGTCTCCTTCACTAAAAATAAAAATAGAATTTTTAAAGAAATGATGATTAAATTATGAATATTGTACTGTAAATGGTGACTCAACTCATCAATTTTTTTCATTTTAGTGTAACTCAACTTCTTTTCAGAAATAATAAGTGCTTCCGTTAATCTAATAAGATATTTAGCTTTTGGATAATTTAATTATAGTTTTTTTTTTAATTCAGAAAATTATGTTACTATCCTTAGATAATTATGTTTCAGAATTTTGTCATTTTCAAGGTTCCGGTGAATAGTTTCATTACATTTCAAACTTTTAATTCAAAAATTCTAAAGATTCTATAATTTGAAGATGTTATATAAATATATATATTTTTATTATTATTAATTTAGTTAGTTATTCATTATTGAAAAATATCTTATAAAAAGGATGATTATACTAATAAATGTGATGGCTCAAATTTAATTACCTTCATAAATTTGTTACAAAAATTTTACATTTTTCTTGAAAATTTAAATTTTCTGGGAAAAAAAAAGCATTATTTTTTGTGTATTATAAGTTTCTTTACATTTTCTTTTTATATTAGACAACTAATATAACTACATATCTTTGAAAGCATTTTTTCAAAATTATTTTCAATTCAATACTTAGATATTTGAAGAAACTTCAAGAAGTGAGCTAAATTCTAACCACACATGAATAAATGTGTGTAATATTTGTTATTCCATTAAAATTTATAATGCATGTTATCAAATTTCAAACTTGAGGAATGAAGTTACGAATGCAGCAGTAGCTGAGCAACATAAATTTCTATTTTCATCTTTTCTACAGCATTTAAATTCTTCAAAATACGTATTGGCTGCTTATGATCTTGAAATAAAATTGTGTGTGAAACAATTTTCAATATTTCTTTCATTTTAAGAGGAGATAGTCTTCTTTAGAAGGTAGTCTTTCTTAGTTAGTTCGTTCTGATATTTATTTTTTTCCATAAATATAATTTCTCTAAAAAAAAATTTTTTTTTCAGAAATAATATTTTTCTTTTCTTAAATCAACAGTGGGGACAAGTGAGGGAANTATATATATATTCTTAAGATACTAAAAATGGTTTATAATATTATTTCTGAAAAAAAAAAATTTCTGAAAAAGCTCTACTTTCAGCGCAATAAATTTTCAGACAAAATAATTTTTTTAAAAATTTATATACGTTTTAAAAGATTTATTATCTATTTATATTAATTTATTGTGTTCATTTCTGTAGATTGGAAATCATAGTAGTTTGTCAAAAAAGAAAGGTCTTTATTGGAATTTAGTGAAGCAACAATCTAAAGAAGAACTGTGATTTAAATCAAAGTGTTATCTGTAGTCAATTATTTATATCATCATATTTATTACATTTCTATAAATTGTGTAATATATGTTAGTTTTCCTAAAAATGACACTTAAAGTATCTTTGGGAGAAGCTCTTATGTGATATAAAAAGTTTGCAGAATTGTTTTAGAAATAGTACAATAAGTGAAACTACTTTTTATTAAGCTAATGATTTTATTAACACTTTAATCAGAGCTAAAGGTTTTAAATTTATGAATATTTTATAGTATTCCCTCCCTATAAGGTATTAAAAATTGTTTACATGCAATAAATTTTTTGTTTGGCAGTTAAGGAACTAGTTAATTTCATAATCTCAGATATTTATTTTTCAGAAGCTACTGGTGAGAATTTTTTTTCTAAATGTTAAATGCTAGTTGGAATGTTTAGTGAGAACATCGCACTAGCATTGCAGCAAAACTTAAATTAAATATTTATGAAGCAAAAAATTAATTCAATTAAAACATTTTTTGAAGTTTCTAGCTGCAGGAGTACATAATACATAAAAAATTTGCTCCTTCATATTGAACAACAGATGTTTCTGAACGAAAGTTGGCCTTGAAATATCTGTATGGAGTATAAATACTTAATTCTCATTAATTTATGGTACAATTTAAAGAAATGGATTTTGAAGTTTATTAATAAAATTTTTATTTCTGTGTCTTGCTCTTAAGTTCTCTTGTGAATGTATTTTTAAATTACACAGAAAATATTGATTTGTGAGGGCTCTTGTAGAATAATTTATGATGTTTGTTCTATATGTTACAAAACTGTATTAGGGGAAAAGAATATTTGTCTCATTTAAAAAGAAAATACAGAATAATATAAGTGAAAGGAAACAAAAGGCATTAAAATCAAATTTTTTATTTGTATTTTAATAGAGAAAAAATACAAATTAGTCAAAATTTGTCTTGGAAATATCCTGTATGTATGTAACGTGTGAATACGTCCTGTAAAATATAACTTTTCTGAAACGAATCTTTCCCATTCAAAAAAATATTCCTTTTACAAATGAGCAGAAGCATTTTCACAACAGCTCATTGTAGGCCAGGGGGTCATGTTTGTTAAGGAATCACAATTTTGTGACCAATGACCTGATTGTGTCAATGTGGTCAGCATTGTGTGCTGACTGCCTTTACTTCCCATACAAGCTGGGTGGGCTTAAAACCGCCATTAGGGATTAAGCCCCAATTCTTAACAATGATAGTTCAGTGCCTCAACTACTGAACCCTCAACAAGTAAATAATAACAATAAAAAATGTGTCACTAATTGTCTCACATATTTTTTTTAAGTACTTTAATGAAGTGTAATAAATTGCTGACAACTCTAATTTGAAATGAATTTAAAGGCATTTTTTATGCAAAATATAGTATTTTATTTCCTTATCAACAATAATAATCTTTATTGGATTTTGTTTCTAGAAAATGTTCTCTAAAAATAAGTCACTAGCAGTCAAGAACTTATAATTAATCGTTAGATTTTTTTCAAATGTTATTTTGATGAGCCAATTGTTTTTTCTCACAGTAATTGTGAAAAAAAAATTATATTTTGATTTTTTAAAATTTAATATTGATTAAAATTATTTATGCTGGACACAAAAACTTTTTTGACTATAATTATTTACGTACCTTGGGATTATCCCATCGATCATTTTCACCGAACCCATTATTATCACCGAAAGGTAGCTTCTGCACCTATAACTCCAAATTTTATCATATTTTCTGCATAATCCTTGGCTACCCTAGTTAGTTTTCTTTAGTGTGTTGAAACTGTTTTTTTTTTTTTTTAAATCTGCTGCAAAATAATTCACATTTGGGATTTGTCTAGCTCCGAAGAAAGTCATGAAGCATATTTTCAATTAATTGAATTCAATGTGTAATTAAAAAAATAGAGGTTTTTACTTTGTTTTGATTCTTTTTAATGCACTTTTTTATTTTGTATTTTTCCAATTAAATTTTTTTTGTTGTCATTATTTTATTATTATTTGATAAATTTAATGTGTTTAGAATGTTTATTTTGGAAATTGCTTTTCATTATGATGGCTTCAAAAGATTTGCGCATTTTCGCGAGTGTTGACTAGTCGACGGGGTAATCCCAAAGTACCATTATTTATTTGCTACACAATTTATTACTGAGACGGAAAATAAAAGCCTGAAGCATATTTTAGTCAGAATACTATCATCTACTTAAATTATCAATTTTTTGAACAGATTATGGTGCCAACCTTTATATTGGTTATTATCTTCATTCATATTATTTACCCTTTTGTTATGATGTTAAACAATATTTTTTATTTAATTGAACTTTTGAATGAGCTGGTATTTTAACAATATCCTTCGAATAATTTTGCTATTTTATATTATCAAAAACATACTTAATCCATATAATGTATTCAAAAACAATATGGAACTTCTGAAAGCATTTTATATTTAGCTAATTCTATACAAATTGCTTAAACTACGTGAGTTTGAAAAATTAGATGAATAGTCTCATAAAATAAAGTAAACAAAAAGTAGACAAAATACTATACTGAATGTAATCGAGCATCATTCCCGCAACTTTTGTTATCCCTTATATATTGTCTTGTTTTAATTGGCCTGTTGGATGTCATTTTTGTAATATTAATAATGCTAGTACAGACAGTTTTTGAAACTAAAATATTCCCGTGTATATCGTTCAGAAATTCTATCGACTTTAAAATTTAAGTTATTTTGTTCTGGGGAAAAAAACAACTCTTGATGCTAATGCTGAAGAAAATAAGGATTTGTTATTGTTTAGGGAAAACATCTCTCACAAACATTACGTTTGATGTTTATGTATCAGTTGATGGAAATGTTGAAACTTTTGTTGTAGTTGTTTCGAGAAAGGGTTGCAGGCACAAACAAAGTGATAACGATGAGGACTGTGAAATGGAACCACAATCAGTTCCAAAAACTGCAAAAGGCCTCAAAGCTTTTGAAACAATAAACAACATTTTGTATTCACATGAACTTACAGAAAGTGAACAGGAATCTATATGAAATGTTGTAAAAATAATTGTTTGTGCTGAGAAGAATAGAGAGTGCTCGAACAACTAAAATTTTCAAATTATTTAACTAACTAAATGACTGCTTTTATTCATCTTTCTATTGTATTGCAAATGGTTTTACAGTAAATACATAAATTTTTTAATTGAAATTTTTTTCTTATTGTAAATTTATTTTCAAATTCCTTACTTGAAATTTTATGTTTACCCCCCTTTGTTGTTTTCTCCTATTTTTTATTCACAAAGAAAACTGTATCAATCAAGATCAACTATAACTTCTATTAGCTTGAATGTACTCTTGATATCGGATTTATACCTGCCAAAAAATATCGATGAAAGTATTTTTTCATATTGCTGGAAACACTTTTGATACTTCAATTTTGCTCTAGAGATTTCAAATCACTCAAAAATATTTTTCTTCTTTCATGCATCACTGTTCTCTTCCATTTAACTGCCATGAGTTAGACACTAGGGGACACTAGTTGCCATAACTCTCATTATGTCTGAATGAATGCTATGTTCTACCTAAACAGCACAATTATTTATTTTTGGGACTTGTTACAATTAATGTAATATTTTCAACGTCTCTTTTTGAATTATTTTGTTTCAGTGTAGATGGTTCTGTCTTCTCTCAGATGGTCGAGCATTGGAATCATAGTTCACTGTGCTAGTGAATTAAAAGTGTTCTAAAGAATTCGTGAAATAGGTGGGATTTGGTGGGATTCATAAAAGCTCTATAGAGTTCAAAAACAGTGTTACAATTAATGTAACAGGACTGTTTGTGAAATTTTTTGAGCACATCTTGGAAACCAGGTCAGTTAGGGCTTGTAGAGAGCCTATTGATATTTGAAACACTTTGTGATATTTTGTCAAAAAGGTTGCATTGTTTCTATGATGTGATTAAATCTGGTTTATTTATGATCAAACAATTGACGGTGTGCTGCTGATTTTTTTTAATATTGTAAGAGCTGTTTTAAAACTAAAAATTTGTTAAAATATTTTAATTAGCAATGTTTGAATATCATTATTAAATATCTTTGTTCAAACTTTTCCTTGTATATTTATGTATAAAAAAAAATTAAAGTATGTTATTTTTGTAGAAATGGTTTTCTTTATATGCATTCCTTTTTCATTACTTTAATTTTAAAACTTGAAAAGAATTAATCAGATTAATGCTGTCATATAAGCGGCGTGACACTTTTACTTATTGGGCCCAATACCGTGCACTGGTGGAAAAAATAATATTATTATTTTTTCATACTTATTGTTTATATATTTGCAATTGATTTATAATTAATTATATAATTATGCCTGGTGGGAATTATATTTTCAGACCATTAAGTGTTTAGTTATACAAAGTTATAGTTAAACAATAAATATATATTTATTATTAAAGTTTTCTGCTGAAATGTGTTTCAAAGCTTACAATTTAAGGGTAAGGTTTAACTTACTAGATGACTTTAAAAAGCAATATTAATTAATTATTCACCAACAAATCATGGCAAGTATTCATATTAAATTCCATTGTTGAAATGTAACATGTTATTTATTTTTGTTGATGTTTTAATCAATTAAAATATGTTTCAAAGTTTTGACCCGTCGGCAATAATTCTATCACACATTTATTTAGCAAAAATAAGGAAGCAAAACTATTTATAGAAAGAAATGCTATGAGCTAGTTACTTCAGGTGACTATTGTCATGAAGCAAGAAGATAGTTGGAAGGCTTGTGTAAATATACTACATTTGAAATATTATTAGGCTAAACGCTAGAAGAAATTAGAGGCTATTTATAAGTTGCATGAGAAAAGAGTTGAAAACGCGTCTCAATATTGTGACAGTATGGAAGATAGTTGTTCTGATAGGGCCATGCTTGAAAAAGCCAGATCTTCTTGCAGCATATAGTGATGGATGAAAGAGGTAAGTAAAGCCTTTGAAAATAAAATTATTTTTAGAACTAATTTCCGATGAAAATTTTTCGAATATTATTGAGAATTAAAGAATTGTGTGTTCACGTAACTTTTGGTTTTGAGATAATGCTATAGAAACCTAATTAGCAGAGATACTGGTGTCATTAAGTTATGAAAAAGTAAGCTAACTTTTCTTAAAAAAAAAGTATTAGGTAAAAAAATAATACTTAGAATGCTATTTAGAATTTTATTTGTAGAATATTCAAAATGCATAACAGCATTTAGCAATAGTCTATAAATAAAAGGGATAAAAAAATCATGTCGAATTAAGATGTTTGAAATTACGATTCCACATCTTTAATAATTAGTTATTTATTTATAGCCGTGATGTCTCATGGAATAGAGCGCTCACCTTCCAATGAGGGTAACCGGGTCGAATCTCAGTGATGGCTGGTCGATACGAATTCCGCGCCTGGCTTGCACAGTGTTGACATCTTCAGTGGTAGACAGATCATGTGTTAGAGTCCCTTTGACGTCAGCTTAACGGTGGGAGTTTTTCCTCTCCATGTAAATGCAGGTTAGTTCCATTAAAAAGTCCTCCGCAAAAGAAAAATGATCCAGAAGTTCCCTTGCCTTCTGGTTTAAGTTCAAAATTCCAAGGCTACGTCATTGAACATTAGTAGTCGTAAACCCGAAAATTAAGTCGGTTGTTCAACGACGGTTATAAAATAAAATGAG